GGGGTCCCGGGCACGGTGGGGGTCCGGGGCTGGCCGTGGCCGGGCTGTCCCTGCTCCTCACACCCGTTTCCTGGAGCGGCGGCAGGAACGCGGGGAATGCTCCGGTGACGTCAATGCTGACATTCACGGGCCCTGCCAAGCTCCGCGCCACCACGGCTGCTCCCAACAGCTGACGTGGGGGCGGCATCGGGGGGAAAAGGGGCCGCTAAGGTGGCTGGGGGCCACGGCACCACGGCCCCTTCCCTCTGCCTTCGAAGGAGCTGCAAAGCTCCGCATCGGGTGCTGGAAAGGCCCCGGGGAGACGCCAGCCCCACGAACCACCCTGGTTTGGCTCCGGAGGCGCAGTCGGGGAGAAACTCCCCCGGTGCTGGCACGGCCGCTGCCCGGCACAGGGAAAAGGTTATTCCTGGTGCTGCAGAACCACGTCTGGACCAGCCCCATCGCGGGGCGGGTGTGGGACCCGGCCTCCAATTTGCTTTTAATTGAGGGCAACGCCGAATTTCACACGCCGCCGCCGCGCTGTCGGCTGGGAGCCTCACCGCAAAAAAGGGCCCCCCCCTCCCCGGGGGGGTGGCGAGCCAGGGTTCTGGTGCAAGCCTGCCTTGGCCGCTCCACCTCGCCGGGGCTGGACGGCACCCGCCTGGCGCAGCGCTGGCCCGCAGCCCGTCCTGCCCCAGCGGTGCCGGTAGCAGCAGCTGCTTCCCAGCGGGACCCGGGGGCTGTCGCTGGCTTTTGGGTTGTACCTACGCAAGCGTCGGCCCCAAAGACCTCACCCTGCAGCCAGCGGAGGCAGAGCGCAGCGGAGGAGGTATTATTAGTGCGTTTTATAGGCGAGGAGCTAAGCCACAAGGTCTGAGCCTTGTTAGCACTGAGGCCCTCGCAGTGGAAAGGGACCTTAATGAGCTTTTTTCCTTGCAGTAAAGTTCCTTTATAGGGCCCAAGCGCAACGAGGAATCAGGTGTTAAGTGACTCACCCGAGGTCAAGAGAGGAACTCGGCACGGGGAGCTGAGCCCAGAGCTGCTGGGTTCTCAGTGGCCACCTCAGTCAGCCCCTTGATGTGCAAAAACCCAGGGGAGACGCTGGCCCCCCAGGACACGCACCCCCCTCCCGACTCAGTCTCTGGGGTCTCCGCTAAAACCAGCAGCCCCCAGAGAAGGCGCTGGCCTGGAGCTCCACACACCAAACCCTTCGGCAGCAAAAGCCTCCCTGGTGTGGGGAAACTGAGGCACGGAGCATCCACAGGACTTGCTAAAAGTGGGCTTTTTTGTGCCAAAAGGTGGCTCCTCACTTACCCACGGGGCTTGGGCAGGCTCCGTTCGTGTTGTTGAGGTCTCCCCCGAGCATCGCCCCTGCAAAGCAATTGGGAACACGGTGAGCATCCCTCCTTTCGGGGGGGCAGGGGGTTAGAGGAGCACGAGGGAGGAAGGCAGAGGAAAATGAGCGGTGTTGCCTTCCCGGGGAGAAAGTCCTGGGCAAAATGAGCAGCATTCCTGGTGATCAGGTTGGGAAACATTATCCAGGCAGATCCGTTTCCTTTGGGAAGGAGCCAGGCGACACAGGAGCTCGCTCCAAAGGAGGCGGCTTGGAAAACACTGCGGCTATTTTATTCCAAGCCCCCCCCCCCTTCTTTGGGGGACACGGGGCCGGTGCTGCCGGGGAAGAGAGCCCCAGCAGCAAGACGTGAAACACTATCTCCCCTGTAATGTTCGCACCGAATGGAAACCATCCCCGCACGCTGCCAGGACGCTGCTACAATTCGGCCTCCCACGGTCCCAACGCTTGGAAAGCGCCGCCGCTCCCCGCCGTGCCGGGAAAAACCGTACCAGAGGCCTTTTTATCCCCAATAAACTCAACGTTTCGCCTCGCCTGCAAAAAGATTTTTTTTTTCCCCCTGCCTGGTTATTGAGTTATTTCTGAAAGCCACCTATTCACAGCTTGGGGCTGCCTGGCCACGCTGAGGGCGGTGATTTCGGCCAACAGCCGGCACGGAGGCTCCGGAGCTGTGACCGCAGTCATCCCGGAGCCCTGCGCAGGGGAACAAGGAGCCTCCGATCCCAAACCCCACCTCTAACCACCGCCCAACCCTCCTCACCCCAGATGGGGAAACCTGAGACAGAAATCCCTTTTTTTCCAGCCCCCCCCCAGCCCTCAGGTCTGGGCTTGCAGCGAGCCCCCAAAGGCGGGAGGAGCACTGAAGGGCTGAGCCGCTGCCGTGTAGGGAAAAGCGTTTGCTCCCCATGTGGGATTGTGATCGGGGATGGTGGCGGTCCCAAAAATATTTTAGAGCTTGAAAAAGGGGCAAGGTGACCCCCAAAACGGGGCAGACGTGGCACTGCAGCATCCTCCCTGAAGGGATGGGGATGCAAAGTCCCGGAGGAGGGACCTCCCCGGGATTTGGGGGCTGTGCCCCGCTGCGGGACCCCACTTGCACTGCAGAAGTAGGTTCACCCCCTCAGGTGAGTGATGCTGACCCCATCCCCATCCCCAAAAGCCCCCTCAGCCACACTTCTCCCGCGCCATCCCCGAGCAGATGGCATCAGCCAGCGCCGAGATACCAACCCAACACTCTGCTGCACATTTGCTTTGGAAACAATGCCGCAGCGCTCTGCTCTCAGCTCGAGTGCATTGCTAAAAAAAAAAAAAAATTTAAGGGGGGAAAAAAATAAAAAATCAAGCTCTTCTAACATGCAAGGGCCTGGCTCCTATAAACAGGATTTCTTCCGTGTCCCAGGCAGCGAGTGAATGAGATGCAGATGGCCGGACTTGGAACACCTCTGTGCTTGCAACCACGAAATTATCCCCCTTCAAAACGACCAGCAAGCGAGCAAGATGGAAACGGCGAGCCTCCAGCCGATTCTGCTTTACAACGAAGCCTCTTATTTTAATTTTTTTTTCAGCAGAGGGGCCTGTGAGAGGGCAAGGGAGATCCCTGCAACCAGAGCTACGGCTGGCTGTGCCCGAGGGGGGCTCTGCCACCCAGCCTGGAGTGAGATGTTGCTCTTTGGGACCAGTCCTAGAGCAGAAAGACCCGACCCCCTCAGGTCTGGGGGCCTCGGCCTGGTTTCTGAGCGCTTCGAGCCATCCCCATCACCGTGCGGAGAGCGCAGCAAGCAAAGCCACGGCTCCTACATCCTACTCCTACATCCCAGCCCAGGCACCTTTCTGCTCGCTCTGACCCAACCTGCTTCTGGAGGCACCTCCCAGCCCTTCTCACACCCCTCCAGCCCCTTCACAAAGCCCCCCCCCAAGCTCACAGAGCCCCGGGGGCCGCAGGTGAATGCCCACCACCCAGATGTCCGGGCGGTCACAGGCCCCAGCTCTTGCCATTTGCAGCCCATGTGATTGTTACAGACCATCTGTGACAACCAAAATAGCAGGCAGGGGCTTTCTGCATGCTATTATTATTTATGATCACACCACAGGAGAGCCAGGCTGTGGTCACACATTGTCGTGCCCCCCCTGCCCCTCCTTTTCCACTGCAGGGGACATGGGTGACAAGCTCCTCTCCCTCAACCTGCCCTCCGCCACCCATCCCCGGTCCCCACTGGAAATGACTGCTCCCTCCTATCTGTCAGCAGATCCGCGTGAGTAATCGCTCAGCGACCAACTGCAACCAGCAGAGCCCGACTCAGAAAAGCCCTTTTTAGGCAGCAGTCCCGTGTCACCGGAGTGCCACCGGCGAGCGGGATGCCGGCAGCCACCCCCAAGCCTGGGAACGGCGCCGGGTGACTCATCTCCTTGCGCTGCCCAACCTCGAAACAGATCCCTGCAGGGATCCGGCTCTCAAAAAGCCCTTGGTAAGGTGGTGGCGGGGGTGGGGGGATCACCCCCAGTTTGAGGCCAAGGCACAAATTGGGGGGGATCAACCTCTGGCAGAAGGAACAAGCACCCTTGGGCAACAACCCTTCCAGGGACACATCCTGCCCCCGGGCAGGGGATGGAGATGTCCTCGGCCCCCCCGGGATGCTCCGTGCTCAGTGCTGCACGCCCAGCAAGGCTCTCACAGCGAGGATGAGGAGCAAGGGGTGCGAAGGGTCACGGCATCGCTCACCTGCGCTGGCCGGCCTCTGCGGCAGCCCCGGGGACACGGTGTTTCTCTGCAGCGCCGGCTGCTGCGGCGAGAGGAGCCGGGGGTCCGTCAGCGAGGAGGTCACCAGGGACTGGGTCACCAGCGAGCTGCCCGGGTTGCTGAACTGCAGCGTGTTTTGGTTGGTCACCGGCACCGTCACGGGCATGGCGAAGTTCGGGGCGGGCACTGCGGACTGAACAGAGAGCGGCGGGTGAAGGGGAGCAGGCGCTGCCAGGATGCTGAGCAAGAGCAGCTCTGGTCCTGCAGCACAGCAGCAGCAGCACCCCACTGCTGAAAAATGGGGGGACAGTCCAGGCTCCCCTAAGCCCCCATTTCACTGCTGACCTGCGCTGGCCGGCCTCTGCGGCAGCCCCGGGGACACGGTGTTTCTCTGCAGCGCCGGCTGCTGCGGCGAGAGGAGCCGGGGGTCCGTCAGCAATCAGCTGTTCCCTCAGACACAGCAACTAGTTGCTTTGGTCTCATTTTCAGGGGGGTATTTGTTTACCCGCAGCGTTTTCAGGGCAGCCCGTGGCGGGGTGGTTGGAAACACCCCAAAACAGGAAGGTGGTGGGCAGCAGCGTGGTGGTTTGCCCCCAGTGGAACCGAGAGCGGCCAAGCTCAGCGCTGCCCTTCATCCTGCCACAGAGGCCCAGCGGCCCGCAGGGGTTTCACGAGGCTGCTCCTCACCCGGCGGGATGGGAAGAGCCCTCCCAAAGAGCTGGCCGTGGGCCACCAGTTGGGGCTGGCACTGCTGCTGGTGGCCGAGCACCTGGGAAAGGCTCGTTTTGCTCTGCACAACCCCCAGCTGACACTGGGATCCATCCTGGCAGCTCCGGGAGCTGCTGGGGAGGAGGAGGAGGAGGAGGAGGAGGAGCTGACCCCGGGGGAAGCAGCAGCACTGCTAAATCCTTGCCCTCAGGTCGAGGACCGGCTTCACCTACCAGCATCCCCGCTGGAGCCAGACTGGCTGCGATTATCCTGCCCGGCTGTCTTATGTCACTGATTTGCTCTTCGTTAACAGGAGCAGGCACCTGCTTAGAGGCTTTAGCAGGGGCTTTGCTAAAGTCCCACTTTAATTTGTTCAGGGCTGGAGAGGCAGAGCAGCCCAGTGCCGGAGGGGACCACCGTGGGGCTGGAGCTGGGACCCCCCCAGGCTGCACCAGCCAGGACAGAGGGAGCCCCAGCTACAGCTGGCAGGGGGGCTGCTGCCCTGTGGCCCCCTCCAGAAATCTGCTCGTAGATGGGTGATTTTCTTTTGGGCTTGAGGGGAGGACAGGAGGAAGGAGTGGGACGGTGCTCACCCACACCTCGCTGCTGGAAACCCTCCCCACCGGCCCCTCAAGGGCATCTCGTCCTTCAGGGCCAGCCCGTGGAGGACACGGCGCTCCCAGGGCCACCGGCCGCTCAAAGCGACCCAGGCTCAGCCTTTCCCAGACCTGCTGGGCAGAGCTGGAAGGCAGAGCCCTCCCATCTTATTCTGCGCGGCTGCAGAACCGCGAGCAGGAAGGTTTCTGGGGCGCTGCCTCCACACCGAAGCAGCGTTGTGTAATAAATCACCGCAAACGCGGCTGCGTGCCCGCGCGTTCCCGGGAAGGGGAGAAGAGAAGCTGACGCCCGCCCGTCGCATCTTAAGCGACGCCTTGATAAAACCGGGAGGTCAAGGGGCACCAACCCGAGAGCGGAGTTGTGCTTTTAATCCGTATCTATCCCACGGCACCTTCAAACCAGCGTCCGGCCGCGAGACGCACAGCCAGCCCCATCAAAGCGGTCCCGGGGCTCCCCCCTCCCCAGCCCCAGGGAGGGCACAACTAGGGAGGGCGGTTTGCCCATCACTCCAAAAAATCTGGGGGAGAAGATGCACACATCAGCCAAACCCCCAGGATTCCTGCTTTCATTAAAAGCGATTACAAACACCAAACGCAGAAGCCAGGCCGAGGCCTCTCTTTAGCGAACAAGGCTGTTGTTAAGTTTTCCCGGCTGTTGAGTCTGGTTAGTTCTTGTCACACACTAAAACCAACCCAGCTGGTTAAAAAGGAAAAGCATCTTCTTCAACCGCACGCGCTCCACCTGCATCGCTCAGTCCCTCGCTGCACGGGGAGGTTTAGTGGGGGAGCCAGATGCTACGCCCTGACTATGAAGCGCCCAGCACCTGAATGCCACCAGCCAAAATGACTTTAAGCCCGGACTGTTCCTTTATGCCACGTCTGGATGCTGCCTCGGGCCAGGGGAGCCTGTCCCGAGCCCTCCCTTTGCAGCAGAAAACACAGACACTAAGTAGTCCCGGCTTTCTGAGGTTGTTTTTGCACCGAGGAGAAAGCTCTGCTGTTTTTTTGACTTATTTTACACCACTGGGGAAGGGGTTGCGTGAGGCAACAAGGGGGTGCACATCCAGCCAGGGCCGTACCCCCACCCCTCCGAGCCTTGGCGGGGTGGAAACCTGCCCCCCACTAGTGAAACCTGGGAGGATGAGGCAGAGCAACCGAGCTAATCCTGCGCTAAACCCACCCCGGAGGGCTGGGCTTGCTGTCACAGCAGAGCTGGGAGCAGCCAACACCGCCCGCACCCCGTTTTGCTTCAGGTCCCCAGCTCCCCCTGGGCTCGGGGCAACCACCCCCTCCCAAAGATGCAGCTTTTTGGGGTCCTCCAGAGGCTCCTGGAGCAACACAGCACTCACCTGCTGAGTCAGCAAAATAAAGAGCTGTGGATTTCCCTAGCCCTAATTCTCAAGAAAATCCAGAATTTTCACCTGGGGCCTTGCAAAGCACAGAAGGGCAGATTAATTCTTATGAGGGGGTGGGGTGGGGGGTGTAATTTTTGCAGTGCTGCATCCAGCCCTTGAAAATGAGCCTCCTCTCTGCTCCTGGCAGCATTAATTATGGCTGCAGCGACTCGGGGCTAATCCCTCTGAAGAAGCCTTGCCTGCATCAATAGTCTCTGCTCCCTTGAACTAACAACTAATTTGAAACGTGTCCCCCCTCCTCCTCCCATCTCCTGACACAAATCCCTTTCAGCGCTGTCCTGATGCCACCCCGGTGACGGCTCCGGGATCACAGGCTAAAACCTCCCTGGATTTCTGCCACGGCCACCAGCTGCCCCGAGGGCTCGCTGGATTTGGGGGGAATTAATGCGGAATAACCCAAACTGGGCTTGGAGGAAAGTGAGGGGTCGGCATCCGCCGCCAGCTCGTGTCTTAACCCAGGAAAAAAATCTTTATTTTTTGGGGGGAAAAAAGGGTGAAAAAGAAGACCCTATTTGCAGCAAAGAAGGGGAGAACAGAGCCAAGGAGGCTCAGGAATGCCGGAGCTAATGGGAAGGGTTTCCCCAAGGGTTGCTCCTGCTTTTTTGGGTGGGAAACAGGAGGGACCCTCAAGGTCCCTCATATTCTCACCCATCAGACCCGGGGTGCATTCGGGGCGGCGGGGGCTGCGCGCATCGGCTCCCAAGGCACAGCACGGCTCCGAAGCAAAGCCATGCAAAATCCAACCACCGCCCCCCCCGACACCTGGAGGCATCCGGGGAGGGGTAAGGGGGGGCTGCAGACCACCAGCTACTCACTGCGAGCCGGTAACTCTGCATCATTTTATCAAACTCCTCATCAATCTTTTTATATTTCTCTTCCGTCTGCGGGGTCAACGCAAACACTTCATCCCCTTCCGGGCTCTCGCACTCCCTGTGCTTCTTGTTCAGCGCCTGTTACGTTTTGGTGGGGGGTGAGGGGGGGGGAC